GCTTGCCCTAGCAAGGAGCTGCTTGGGGCTGGGGACAATAAGGGAGAGCGACTGGAGGCAGGGGCATCATGTGTGCTGAGCATGGCCCTGGCAGCTGCAGACACGTAAGTCTGTGGGAGGCAGGGCTTGGAGGCCCAGGGCTTAGGGACAGGGCGGGGAGGGGTGTATCAGCATGTGAGTGGGACAGGTACCTGCCGGCACTGGGGCTGCAGCAGGGCTGAGTGGGGAGGCGGGGAAGGTGCCTGTCCCTTCAGTGGGGATAGTGGGTGGGAAGGTTCTTTGGGGCCAGCAGGGAGCTGTGTGGGCAACAGGGCCATGGGTTGGGATTGAGTGGCACCAGCAGGGCTGGGGAGGGACAAGGGCTGCAGGTTAGGAATAAGGAGCACTGGCAGGGCTAAGGGGGCTGTGGCTTGGGAGTAAAGGGCACCAGGGGGCAGGGGACTGTGGGTCGGGAGTGCGGAGCACCAGCATGGTCTGGGGGCCATTGTACTGTGGGTCAGAAGTGAGGGCAGCAGCAGGTCTGGAGGGGCTGTGGCTTGGGAGTGAGGAGCAGGAGGAGGGCACAGGCATATCATTGCCCCCCACATATTACCCCCTGACAGATGTCCTCTTTTTTAAAACTGAAAATATGGTAACCCTACCGTTAGGACACGGCCTGATCCCAAGGTTGCAAACCCTCCTGGATTGGAAGGGAGCCTACCGGAATCGGCATCAATCTCCTGGTGACTTGAAAGCAATCTGAGAGATTGATATTGTGAATGGGTTGAACAGTACAATTAATGACCAGAGGTGCACCGATACATCAGTCCCATATCAGATCAGCACCAATATAAGGAAAATTAACAGTATCGGCAATCGGCCTTTTTTGGTTGATGTGGTCAATAAATGCCCCGTGCATGCACGCAGCTATAGCGTAGTACACAGGCTGTCAGAAGCACAGCCCAACAACATGGAGAGCAGCCAGGTCTAGCTGGTAAGTCTGTTGTGAGGGGAGGAATGTGTGGGGGGGAGCAGATCAAGGCCCCTGTGGTAAGGGAGGGAGTGGGGCTGGGGCTGGAGCTGCACAGCTGGGGCGGGGTGTGGGACGGAGCTGTGAGCAGTACCTCAGGACGGCATGGGGGAGGTGTGGCCCCAGATCTGTGCCCGCGGCAAGGGGCAGCGCCAGGCTCTTTCCCGTGGGGCACTTGGGTTGTGGCTGCACTCAGGGCAGATGGCAGCAGCCCTGGGAGGGAGGCCATGGCAAATTTCAGGGGTGGCTGCAGCTCCCCCCATAGCCCCTCTCCCAGCACTGCCACCACCCACCCTGAGCACAGCCCGGCCCAACCCCCCTGTTGGGAAGAGCTGGGCACCACCCCAGCCCACACCAACAGCCCTCCCTGCCCTGCGCAGATCTGGGAGCACACAGCCCACTTGCCCTCCCGGGGTGCGCATAGCAGGGGGAGCGCACTGCACTCTGCCTCGCCTCAGGGACAGAGTGGCCTGAACAAGCCACTCTGTCCCTGCTCCACCCCAGCTGAATCCTGGAAGCCAATGGACAGGTCCAGGTCAGCCCACTCCCTCCCTCACAGCGGGGACCTTGCCCTCCCCACCTCACCCCTTCCCCCACGGACTTTCCAGCTGGACACTGCTCTCCAAGCTCCCCCCCCCCCGCATATTAGCAGTGGGATCGGCGTGGCCCGACATGGCCCGTTAAAAATCGGCCATCGGTATTGCCCCAAAACACCTGTACCGGTGCACCCCTCGTCATGACATTAGGTCACGTTGGAAAAAACACATCTCCTGGGCTGGCTTCGGGCAGCCCAGCCCACCCCACCCCCTCCCCGCGCACCTGTAGAGGCGCTGTGGCGGCGCGGCCAGGTCGGTGGCGCGGCCGTCGGCAATGTAGTATGCGCCGCGCAGGCCCTGCAGGCGGCCCCAGAAGCGGACGCGCTGGAAGCGGTAGTCGCGGCGCAGCAGCAGCAGGGAG